ACGTCACTGGTGCTAGGGACATCACTGGTGCTAGGGACGTCACTGGTGCTTAGGACCTTCCTGGTGCTAGGGACGTCACTGGTGCTAGGGACGTCACATCATGCACAAGCAAACCAAGCTGATCAAAGTCTCTCATCCATCTGCAGGGTGTCCGGCAGTATCATCTGTTACCTGGCAACCACCATCCCGTGTACATGGATCACGGAGTTTCATCTGCTGGATCTCCGTACGCGCAGCAACCAAGGGACTGGGAACAATGACGTCACGTATCCTTCCAATACCACTCACTCACCGAATACTAAGGTATGAAATCGAATGGAAACTGGACATTCTTGACTATAGAACCGATTAATGCCAACAATATCCATACATACGCCGGGTAACCCCAGGGCTCCCCGGGCTCCCCTATATATATTTTTAGTTGCACGTTGACGTACTTGCTTGTCCCTCAGTGGGAAAGGAGAACAACTTGTACTCCCTCATCTTATCATCGTTCTTTCTTTTACTTTTGTCATTAATATAACTGGTTCAAAGAAACTCACCAACATTACTATTTTTTCCCTCTAGATTATTCTACCAATTAACATTTCTCCAGGTAATTTTACTGACCTGATAGAACAGTTAACGATGCTCATGTTGATTCTTGGTCGGTGGCTGCTTCCCAAAGGATCATTAACTCGTGAATCTCTGTCACAGCTTCTGCTMGTCAACCTTGCCATGAGTGCAGACATCATTGAATTCTTTGATATTCTTAAACTGGCCCAAACACGAGTGTCCAAGGATCTAACCATTACAATTTTAAGTCTATGGACGATAAGTCTACTACAGTTTCCTCTGAACGCGACTGCAAAATTAGGTAAGGCTATTCTGCTTTCTGCTTATAGTATAGCTGTTAAGGGTCAGCCATGTTGAAAAGTAACCGAAGCCTTTTATTAATCACGTGACTGTCTAGTAAAATCAAGCCAGAGAACTTTTAATGTTACTCAGTTTAAAAGAAATAAGATCAATGGGATCAAACTGAGAAAAAAAMAAAMAACAAAAAACAAAGAAATCATACTGAAGGGAATGAAAGGAGGATTCGTAAAGGCGGGGAAATCGCGTACAAACTAATACTGTAGTCACAATTTAAAAGCATTTTAAATCGTTTGGTTTTAACAAAGCTGTTCAGCTAAGATACACGCACGGCTGTAGTTCAAATATAAGGCGTGCAACAGAGACCCCCTGGTTAATCCGTATTCATCGTAAAATGTTTCATTTTTTAATGTTTTTTTTTTAAACAGGGGATGAAATCAGAGAAGAAGTATCGCCACCTAGCAACACAAACGCAGCACCAAATCACGATATTAACAAGAACTCGGTACCAAACTACATCAAACGTCATGGACGACGACAGTCACGTGTCTCTGTTGACTATTCTTGTCTTCAAGCACCACTCAGTGACCGAAAACTGTCAATAATCGCTCCACAAAACCGTCGTTTATCGTTCCAGCATGCCCCAGGCCCCCCAGCCGAGGAGGTTGATGATATACTGGAGACACATGTTAAGATACCACGCACACACAGGCATTCCATGGCTGTTGGCATGATTGATAGGTTGAATGTCCCGGATGTGTCATCACGTGACATGGGTCATCAATCAAGAAGACTGTCCGTCGATGTAAATAGTACAAGATACAATAACCTTAGAGAGAACATGCAAGGTTTGGCCAATCAGATGCCAAGAAGATATTCACGTGATGTTCAGGGGAATAGTAATAAGTCACGTGCTTCGGTTGACATTTCCGCTGACCGAATGACTGCACGTTTTAATTTTGAGCGAGCAGCTTCCTTAGAATCAAACGAGACAACTGCTGAAGGCGAAGGGCCAAAACACAGGGTGACCATGGACTTAATMTGCACGTTAATGGCTCTTTTCTTACAAGACGGTCCATTCCTCACATTCAGGCTGTACATGATTGCTAAACATTCAGCCTTTGAATACATGATTGTTTTCTTGACAGTTAAAAACGCTCTTCTCTTGACTCTACAAATTTACAAGCTCTGTGTTCAGCATTGCGTCTGCCATGATCACAAGGACAACGACTTCTCGCCTGAAAACCACGTGGACGCCATGTCAAGGCTGAATAATGTACAGATTGCCGTGATACACGAGGAGAATGAGACAAGGAAATCAGAGCCGTCAAAGAAAAAGAAACGAGGGAGATATAATCGACTAAGTGTTCGATGGAGTCGAACTAAGACGAGTATTACTGGAACTGGTCCCTTGTTCTACTCACGTGCTTAGTCGTGACTAAGTATTGATGCACTTGAAACCAGAAGCCCTTACGGTAGGATTTGATCTGCGATGCGATACCGCGTACCGAACCAGATAACTGTATTGTTCTAGATAGGTGTCCCCAATTAGTTTATTTAAATAAGCTAGAACGACATGACACAGTAATAAAGTTTATTATTATTATTATTATTGGGCAACGAAGACTGAACTATGCCAAAATAACAAGATGTAAAATTCAATTCCAAGTGTTGGTCTCAAAATATTTTATTTCAATCCAGACTCTATGAAAAATAAATTAAGCGGGTTATATGTCTATAAACGAACAAATAAAAAAATCATTTTGCGATTTATATYTTAAGGGTTTCACGATTGGACTCTATGGAAAATCATTCGTATTTTGTGATAATTCGATTACATAAAGGGATACAAGCATTCCAGTTTTCATTTAGTAGACTAGATGAGTTCTATTCATAAACCATTTACTGATAGTTATTTTCATAGTTGGTTCTGACTAGCAATGGAAGCCGACGCAAGYGAAACGAAATCTTCTCTCCTCTTGAGCTTGTGTTGCTTCTTTTCTCATAGTGAGAACATAGTTGCGTTTGTCGCATCGGATTGCGTCGCCATTGAGGACCACGGGCTTTTGGCCTCCCTCCATCCCATTTGTCTGAGTAAGTATTGAGAACCACCAGCACCATCCCAATTGTCTGAGTAGTATTTTTTGATTGGCGGAAGCCAGAAACCCAGACATVTTGTTCTGTGTAAGTCCTGCAGTCATGAAAATGCCTGTMATCCTRACTTACCCTTTCCTAACCCAACACTCCAGGACCAATATTAGTTAACATACTTGGTGCTTCCATCGCTGTTCAAATGGTTTGATTGCGACACCTGTGTGGCGGTACCCTCAGATACCTACAGTACTTAACATCCCTATAATCGATGTCTTTGCCTGTAGCTTTGCGTACAAACTCTTCATCTTTCTCGAAACTTCTTGCCTCAGGCTTCTTCGATGTTTGTGTGTAGAGTTTCGGAAAATGTACGAGCGTCAAGGGCGGTAGTCTTATGGGCAGTTCTTCTCCATCTCCCATGCTAAGATAGTTGCTTTTCTCTTTAGTTTCTTGACAAGGATTTTCTGCGAGTGTTTCAGAAGGTTTGATATTTCCTGGCGAGTGCGCAGAAAGAAACTTTTGAAGTTCCAACAATGATATACTTGATTTTCTTCGAGAGATCTTTTTACTTCCAGAGCTTGTAGTTTCTTTCGAAAGAGTATTGTTCAATGATACACTAGATTTTCTTCCAGAAATCTTATTTTCCGGGTTTGTGGTTTCCTTTGAAATAGTACTATTTAAGGGAGTTAGTGAACGAAGTTTTTTGTCCTCGACCGAGTTCCCCTCTTTTTTCATCTCCATGACATGTTCACGAACATTTGAAAAACTTGCTTTACGTCTGTTGTTATCGATTGAAGGCTGAAGCAATTGCTCGTTGTGTTTCAATAAGCCCGTCGTATCAGTCAAAGAGTTTCTGTACTTTAACATCTTCATGATTTCTCCGTCCATTTTATTCTCTTGTTTTGATTGCTCTTTCTCTAGAGCATCGATCTTGTTATTCCAAGTTTTACCCAGACTACAGTTCTGTACGGAAAGACGTCGACTCAAGTGCCGTGTAAAGACGGTGGGCTGTTTGGCAGGGTCGTGAGTATCCATTGATGGAATGTTTTAGGCTCTACTTTTCTTGATCGTCTTACAAATAACAGATCATTTCTAGTTTCATGATGAATAACAATTCTTTAAGTAACTCACAGCCCAAATGATTATCACTTTTGTGCTGAATAGAATACAGTTCAAAACAAATACTTTTCCTTAACTCTATTGTTTTCAGTGAAGTGCTAATTTCTTTATCACCTGTTAACGAGTTGGTCCAACATATTTGGGTTTGTTTAGTTTGTTTTTCTATTACCATAGATAAGCAGTCAGTCAGTATTGTCTCAATACAATACCCTTCTTATGCCTCAAGTCTAGGGATTGAGGTTTTGTACAAAAGTTAATTACACAAACGGAAACGCTATTCTGGCTGCAAAGAAGTAAGTGCGTCATAAAGTAAATAACAGGCCTGACCATCCCTGAAGATTGTAAGCGTTTACCTGAAGGTAGTGTACTTTTGTTTTGGTGTCCCCCCCCCCCTATGTTACCAACTCCCCCCCCCCCCCCCCCTCCTAAAAATGGTAGGAGGGGAAGGATTTAGGGCGTTCCTTTGATTGATGTGATAAGGACCCTTGACATCCGGGACATTTGTCATGCCTACCCTAATGTCCCCTTATGTCGGCACGGCTAACTCACAGATCAAATCCTGAACCAACCTCTGGGCTTATCTAAGGGGCCGTTTATATGGACAAAACTTGTCCCTGGTAGAAGGGATACCCTCTTCCCCGAGCTACCCTGGGCGAGCTAAACTTTTCCATATTTTCTTTGTAAATTCATCTCGACCGTTTACACGAGATATTTTATTTTGCCTCGGCTAGAAGGGCCACCCTACTGGTAGAGTTACCCTCTTTACGAAAGGAAGTGACCCTGGTACTCGGGACAACTTTTCCCCATGTGAACACTTTAACTCGTCTAACTGAGACAACTCTGTTTATAGGGACAACATAGTTCAATATAGTATCAATATAGTTGGCTCGAGCACAAAGGTGTCCCTGCTACCAGGTAAGTAAAGTCAAAGGGTTTTCCCTAGGGATTTTCCCTTCCTAAAACCCATACATGTCTAACTTGTTGTGTTATCTCTAGGGATGATTATAGACTAGACCTTGTTCAACAAACATGGCAACACTATTTAGACTGAATGATATCTTTTATTAGTTGGTAAGCAACAGCTATGGTTAGAAAGTGAGAGCGAAAGTTGACAGCAAAGATCTGCAAATTTATCAAATTAAGAAAACAATAATACAATAGCAATGTTTGAGCTTCAGCATTAGGACAGTAGGAAGATGGAAAATGAGACAACACAGCTAAAACAGTTGGACATCATTATTAAAATAATTCTAGAGTTTAAAAAAGAATATCGAGTTGATGCACCATAAGGGTACACCACATATATTTTTCTATATCATTATATCCCAAACTGAAGTAGTTTTAATCTAATTTCTAATCTAAACTACAGGCAACTGCGATAGTGGTGAATGAGCTTCCTGTGGTACAATACAACAGAGAGGAAACATGGACAAGAGATTCTCTTACCCTTCTCTCCTCATTTCCTCACGCTTATTTACCACAGGAGTCCCAATTGCATGATACCTGTTAAGGGACACGAACATTCTAAATATCTAATAAAAAGATTCTGAATATCTCTAGCTTAACATCCTAGCATAATACTTGAAGAAATATAAACATTGATAATTTTTGATATTCAATAATATATCATTATTTTTCTTTACACGAGAAAAGTTTTGGTTCAAAGAAGCTGAGTTTCTATGGCAACCAAAAGTGTGAAGATATTTACACTTTTTTAAAGACGTAATTGAATCAATAAGCGTAATAATAATAATAATAATTATATAAGACATTGTAAAGCAGTAAGCTTTGGATATTAATTTTTTCATCTCATTTTATCTATATTCTTATATCTACCTAATAACATTCATCTAAAGACCTAAATTAATTCATTAACAGGTGCTTGTTCATTGATATGACAAAACTTACAAGAGGAAATTCCAGAAACATCTCAACAATAATGACTGTACGCAATGGATTAAAACATAGTTATTGTTCTATCTGTATCAAAGGAAATGCCCTTAGACCAAAATCTGACTGAGCTAAAGTTTAGTAACACTGTTATAAATATCTGTAGGCCATAGTTAACTTATGAGGCCCTGTTAGGGGTAAATTTGGAAAAGTGTCATGGCCTTGAAACAGCCATACAAGATCCACAAACTAGCAACAAACAACAGACTGCTCCAATGAATTATTAACAGCAAGGCTCYATTAGTGGTAAATTCTGACAAGGGATACGAGAATGTTCCGAGATTCTGACATAGAGAATTGTGGATGCATTTATGGGTACTCCCCCTGATAGTGCCTCCGGTATAGAGTGTATACTCAGTTTGAGTGCAATAATCATTAGTGTGTTAGTAACCCAAGACAATCAATAGGTTTTAGGCCATTGCGTGTGTTGGGTTCTAATGGGTACTAAGGGTCAATATTGGATTACTACCAGGTTTCAATTCTCCTGGGTATGTAATATACAGGACAGGTTAGGTTATGCCGAGTTAGTTCTTTAGTGCATATAGTACATTAATACAGTCCAACATTAACAAAACATTTTAAGGTCTTCTTTGTGCACAAGTGATAACAGACAAAAGGAATAAAAGAGAATTAAAATAATACTGCTAAATAAATTAAGAGCATAAAAATCCTAAAATGACCTACAGTTTCCTGTTGTAGTAATCGGCAAGCAGAACCAATCATCAGACAAATCGGTCATAAATTCAATCTTAATCCAAGGTGCCAATCATTTCTTCCATCCAATAAATAAGAAAACAGTTAACTGGTATTCCATTGTCATTGAAATAAATTCAAAACAAATGTTCAAATCTCTTTGACAATTGTGACTAGTTAAAGAGTCTTTGTATGGACAAGAGTTTTAAGCAAATCACTACAGCCTGGCTGATTCCACTGATCATAATCTGTGTTGTCTTGGCTTTTTTCTTATTTTTTTCTTTTCCACTAATATTATTTGTTTGATCCTGTTTTGTTTCTTGTCATGTTTGATCACATATCAAATAGATTTCATTCACATTCTAAAAGGCCGCTGTAAAAAAAGGAAAAAATATAAAAGCATATTAATTTCTCCCTATGAAGAAAGGTTATGCTTCCCGTCTCAACAATGTTACAAAAAATTGAAATACAAATAATGTACAAATCATGAGTTTACATAAAATTTTACAAATATTTTGAATTCGTTCCCAGGACATCTTCTTAAAATTTTGAATTACTCTACTTCATTATTTTGCCTTTTCTGAAGCTTACTTTATTTCATATAAAACACATATGAAATTTATACTTAATGTGACGTGAGTACCCTCAGCAAAAGTGAAAGACAAGACCATATTACCTGTAGCTTGAAAGGGGCGCAAGTCAGATCTCTTAAAGAAGTTTGAGAGATACTAATGAACATGAAAAGGAGACTAGCCGTCCTTTTATTGTACTAGATGTTATGAAGTGTACACAATGTCCAAATGCTCATTGTGAATATCCAAGCAAAAAAACATGAGAATTTTTATTTCTTTCTTTCCTCTTTCACTTTTACTATGGGTCAACTGGCCTCACCTCATGTTCATGAACATTAATCTCTGCATCTCTTATAGATATTAATAAAGTGTATGTCTCACAGTGGATGGATGAGTTATACTTTTATCATGTTAATAGTGTTAGCATCATATGCCTTAGGTGTAACATTGTATGCAAGGTTGAACTGAGAACACAAGCAATAGCTAACCACTTGAAGTCAATAAAATGGAGAATGGTATGAGAAAGAGTATGCTAAATATAAAYTGGTCTAATGATGAGTGTTGTGTAAATAGTATATTTGTATACTTACTGGTGTACTTACTTTGTCGGATGGTTTGGGCTTTGCCGATGCACTAGCTTCTGCTGTATCTGTAACATCTTTTGATACGACACACAAAAACTCTGCTTGATCTTCACTGCCATAATTGTAGTTACTTCCAACACTTACCAACTACAAAGAAATCAAAAATAACCAGAAAAATAATTCAAAATAAGAGCCACTCTGTGGAAATGCCACTGCTAAATCCTATTTATTTCTATTTATTTGTTCTATTCCTGGATGGACTAGTATGCGTAACACTGAAAAGTGAGGGAGGGTGAGAAGAACTAATGATGAAGGCAAAATAGACCTTATTACGAATACATTGGCAAACAATCTTGCAGAGGGGGAAAATATAATTATGATAATCATTACATCACTTTTAATATCAAATCTTCCCTTTTACATCCTACCAGGGCTTAAAATAACAGCCTGTCAGTCACCCTTCATGATGCCATACCAGTCAAAAGAAGTAGCAAAGATGTGACCAGACAAGTTCATATTATAGGGAGGCAGCATGGTTGAGTGTTCATTGCGTCGGTCTCGCTATCCGGTGGTGCCAGGTTCGAGTCCCACTGTGGCTACTAGCTGAGACTGTATTTGTCCTGATCCCTGATTAGTTCAAATTCAGTTTCTCGACCATGCTTGTAAATAGCCAACTGGTTTGCCTCCTTGCCAGTTGGGATTCTTAAAAACACTTTATGTTTCTTTGACTATTATTTCTTCATTTCAGTGTCCCCAATTAGTTGTATAAAATAAATACATCGACACTTAAATAAAGTTATTTATTTTATTATTGTTTATTATTATGGACAAACATTGTGTGATGACCAGCCCTTACTTTAAGCCCTGCCCTCAAGTGTGGCAATTTCTCATTTCTTGAAGACTTTTGAAACTATAAAGCAATATATTTTATCATATATTTTTTCTACATAATATTACTGTACAGACACTTAAACCATGAACACTTCAAGGTTTTTTAAACATTTTCCAAACCATCCAATCAGAAGCCAGGTTTTTACCGAGGTTCCAACATTTTTTTCATGCGATACTAGAGCCTCTTGTGTTGTTGTTGCCGTTAAAATTTTATTTTATTTCAGCTACTTCATCAATGAACAATATTTTTAATTTATTTGTCTAAATTGAAAGTTTGCACTTTGTGCCCCAGTTTTGCATACTACCAGGTTTTAATACATGATCTAGCAGTTCATTTGTTCACACTAAGAGAGCTAACAATATAACATCTAAAGATTTTCTGTCATTTGTTGTGATAAGATGGCACCTAAAAGATGTTTGATTCCTTTGTTTATATTGAGAACTATTGGATAGTTATAAAAAAGCTCAAAAACCCCCAAAGTGTTTATGGTTTGAGTGTCTGCACTGTAATACAGTACATGCATCAGTTACAGTTCCCAAATCAAAGTAAATAACTAACCTGTTCAAATCTCCAACCATCAGACATTGTAGATACCATCTGAGTAAGTTCATCTTCATGACATTGCAAGACTCGATAAACATGTTTTTTAGCTAGCAACTGTAGAAATAAAATGATTATCATTTAATAACCAGCTACATCTTTTCATTATTATTATTGAGTACAGAGCAGTGCTTTAGTGATATCATTGTGCCAATAATTAACAATTATTTGCTGAAGGCAAAGTGATTATCGGGGAATATTTAGCGAGACACGAGTCTTCAAGCGGCGAGGTAAATATTCCCCAATAATCACTGAGCCTGAGTCAAATACTTGTTTAGTATAAATACACAGGTGATTCTTTCAAAAAAAGAAAAAAAAAAGATAAAAGGCATTTTTCCTGGTAACAGCAACAAAGTGGCTGGCCTCCATTTTGGTTTCTCACTCGAGGTGATTATTGTGTGATAGTGTGAGTTTCTTGATCAACCAGCGTGCAAGATTTTCTATAATCACCTGCGTATTTTTACTAACAGCTAATAATATTTAATAATTATTATTATTTGCTGAAGACAAAGTGATTGTCAGTGAATATTCATGATATCATAGTAAAGATATAGATGAATTAATGAATAATTGTTGTAGTATAATTTTAGACTTGAATATCAGAGAAAAGATGGAAATCAGGAAATAAAGCAACCATTTTTAGTTTTTACTTTGGCTTTGGTGATTTTACTTCTTCTCATGACAATAGACCTTATTCATGGTGTGACAATGTTTTCCCAATTCAGCGTGACAAACCTCCAAGGGATTCATTTTCCATTGGTTTTACTCTTCGAAAAATTCATGAGTATCCCAAAGGATACGAAAGGAATAACGATGATATTCTGACGAGTTTCAAAACAATAGCTCTTCATTCCCCTTGAGGTTTGTCACACTGAATTGGGAAAACATTGTCACACCACAAATAAGGTCTATTGAATATTGTTTCATAATCACTGGTCGCTTGACCAATCACAGTGCATGAAACTCTATATTCAAGTTTAAGATCATACTAAAAGTCAATAACTCATTATCATTAGTTCTGACTTACTGGCAACTTTTGTCTGTCTTCTCTAGCTTGTATTTTGTCTTTAATTATCTTAACAAGTGGTTCTATACTATAAAATTCTGCTTCTTCGAGAACTCCTTCAATATAAACAGATAACATACATATATTTATATATACATATTAAAAAGAAACTATAACTCCTCTGTCGAGAATGACTCTCAATTCATTTTATAAAGGTTCATAAATTTCAATGGTGAAATACAATTTTGAGCTGCTATGCTAATTCCCAAAAATCAGGTCACTTTTTCCCATGTTTTATTTTCSACCTCTAGGGACCACACCCCTTGTGCATATTGATATTAAGATTATTGCAACATTTTCAACAAAAACAGTGGATATACATTCTAACTGCAATGGAATAAAGCACAAATAAATATTTAAAAACCAAAGAATTCTATAAGGAATGTTCAAAATACGTAACCACTAGATATTCTTGTAATCCCTTAGCTGTGATGAATGACATGGTATTAGTCAGCTAGGGACCAGTGGATGGGGGAAAACATGGCACTTGCCAAGGTAAAAAACCGTCAGAGATACCAGACAACTCCTCATTTATTCGTTTATTCAAACAAATAAAGGAAAATTTTGTCCCTTTTTTTCTTTAGAACTAAATTGGAGAATAAAATAAAAATGGCTGTTTTCAACGTCTTGACAGTTGTAGTTGAAGATGAAACGACCGTTCAAAGGGAAACAACCTTTTTATATATTTTATCGTTAAAAAATGCTTAAAGTGAAAGGAAATGAACTTAGAAATCCAGTTTTGGTCAAACAGTATTTCTATATTTAGCTTATGATCGTTTTACAAGCCAACAACAGTGTTAGTAACGAAGAACTACAGTCATTATTTTCATCTGCGTTCACTCTCTACGTACGTTACGACACTACGAGTTGAAGCAAGGCTTTCTGCAAGCGAATAACCCACCTTCGAGTATTTATACGCTTATTGACGTTGTATTTAGAGTTAAAAGTCGATAGCAAAAGCTTTTTCTATTAAAATTATAAAGAAAGCTAGGGATCGGGTTCGCTAAGAAAGCCGTGCTTCAATCGACTGTAAGCTCATAATAGTTGATGTACCTTCGTCGTGTAAATCTCTATCTATTATGAGTTTGCCATGACGAAGATAATTCAAGATAGGAGAAAAATATCGAGGATCTCGGTCGATCATGTAGGCATCATTTTCATCCTAAGACAAACGAGAAGAAGAAAGCTTTAGTACTGACAACATCCAAATGCTCATCTAAAACACATAAAGAACTGACCTTATCTGAAGGTAAATCAGGATCTTCTGCACATAATCGAGACAGAAAAGAGTTTGGATGTCTACAAAGGGTTTGCTTGGTTGTTAGAAAACACGTTCCTCCGACGTTGAGTTTCACCCAGTTATTGCCCGAACGTTTAGATTTAGTTGAGGCAGCCATCTTGCGCGTTCATCGTGTGTCTTTGGCTAAGCGACTCACTCTCGGTACGAGCGAATAATAATCTGCCTTCTACGCTATTGGCCGCAAACAACCACCTATAAATAGCTTTTCTAATTTTAGATCCGGTTAACTAAAGTGAATTCAGCTGCCGTAGAAAGCGAAAATTTCAGCCACTTTTGACGCTCGACTACTGTGTGTGGCAAACCTCAAATACTACGAAAGGTTCCGAATGAAAGTCGGGAGTTTCCGAATCGAATATTTTCTTCCGAAAAGCCCACGACAAGCAGCGAATACCGATATTAATTAAAAAGAGCTTAGTTGCAAAATACGGGGATTTGTATAGCTAATTTGGTCTTAAAACCAAAACTTCTTAACTTTAAAACTTAGGGGGAGTAATATGTTKTTTTTCTTTATATAGAAAACTGGCAAGGCTTGGATCAGGCATTGGTCAGAATGCGTGTGAAGTGGTGGCGGCTAGCATAGGCGCGTTTTCTGTGTCCCTCCTTTTCAACACGCAAACGCTACGCCCAGTTGCTATCAATCTAAAACCGCCTCCCCTCCCTTTCTATTTTCTGAAGCATTTAAGGGTTTCCTCTGATAGCCAAAGTCCTAAAATAGCAGAGTACTTATCTAGCTAAATAATTGATTAAGCTACGAAAACACAAGCGTGGGTGGACGATATATTTGGATGCGTTGGCAGTTTTTAGCAAAATGAAAGTCCTTCACTCAAGACGTCTAAACTTATGCGCGGTTGAGTTACCGGTCATTTGCTATGACGTCAAGACTCGCTCTTAAAACGTGTAGTTTGTACTTGATGTTCTCAACCCTTTTTATCGGAGAGTTTAAGCAGGAAAATAATACTGTACTGATGTAATTTGAGTCAGGTTCCTCTGTGCACTTGCGGAAAGGTCAGTTTGAAACAAAAAAGAAGTTCCTCTTTAACACAAACATTTCATTTTTTCTCTCTCTTTCAATTAGTTTGATTGTATTTACCACCAGTAAATCCCCATCCTTTCCTTTTGTTTTTCATCGTCATCGCTAATACTACAGAGCTATAATACGCCTTTTTTTCTTCTTTTTATACACCGGCTCTCGACGAGTTCCGCGTGGAACCGAGTCATTGATCAATTCTATTTTTGATTTGTCTATTTTACGAACAAGTTCACATCTTTTGTTATTTATTTGTTTTACCTTCGTGTACAAAAAAGCATTTTCTTTAAAATTCCATGCGCATGACATCGAATCTTTGTGCACCGTACTATCAGATTTTTTTAGTACATATTGGACGGAATACAGTTTGTGAAAATTTAACAGCTAGTATTCTCAAAAGGAACAAGAATTTGAACTATAAGCTAGTCGATAGTTTTTTAAAGTTTTACCACGCACAAAAGGCGGCTTATAATATGCTTAATGAATGATGATATTAATAAGCTTTCGATTCTTAAAATAATAAATTTGAACACCAACGTTATACACCAACTAAAATCAAGGTCTGGCACTTTCAAATAGTGATTATTCATAGATTTATTTAGTGTTTGAGCAATTCTGTCTGTCATTATATTTTAACAATGATGTAAAGTCATTGTCTTAAAGTTTCAAATTCATAATTTTTAAATAATTCATACAAAGCCTTGTTTCAAGGTTGTTATATTCGATTCTAATTTTGTATTTTTTTCTAGATTTGGATAATTTTACTTCTTCATCAAAGAAATAGGATAACCATTGAAAAAGATTCAATTTTAGCCTTCATTGACAGCACAAAAATTATATATTAATATTAATATTAATAATAATCAAAGGGTTTGTTATTTTCTTATCCTAAGCGATCTAATATTTGAACAATGAAATATTCTGTCCCTACCCTTGGACAAAAAAACTTTTAATCAAAAGGTTGAAAACCTGTTGCCCTTTCTTGCCATGAGAATTAAATATTCTGTTCTTTGATTTACTCATTGAGTTATACGAGTCTTGCCTTTCTGAGGACATAAAATGTCAAGTTCCACCCACTCTCCTACCCACCCCAACCCACCCCCTGGTTTATAATTAGTCTATAATATTTAATCTATTAATTCTATCATTATTCTAGGCCATTTTAAACAATCTGTCCCCACCAATGGTCATGTACTGAAAAAGATTTTTCATCAATAAAAATAAAAATGTAAAAAAAAAAGGGAAAAAATGCTATTGATATGATTTCAATTAAGTGGTAAAAAAAAAATAATTAGATGATGTTATCTATGAGATTTTGAACACATGACTTGTGCTAGTCCTTTATGGATCTGTCCCTGAACCACTGAATAAGGAATGGCCTCGCCATCTATTGCAAGTGTTCCATTTTCAGACAAATCTGGCTCAAGTCGGAAAGCCTGTGCACTCACAGTTACACATTCATCAGCCTCCACATGTGAGCCATCTTCCATTTTATTAAACAGCGAAAGAAGCTTTAACCTAGAGATTCCAGCTTTAGAATACGTTATGTGCATGACACCATCACCAAACCTTGCTTCTGGGGCAGCCATAATGTCTGGTCCCAGGTGAGAAAGATTGACTGAAGAGCCAAGAATGAAGGTACCTTGAATAGTCTTCCAGTTTGCAGGCACATGTTTCTCAAATGGAAGCAACAGTGGTGTATCAGGTCCTTGATGATGTTTGTAAACCTTGGAAATGTCATTGACTGAAGGTTTTTCACTTTGAAGCATGACAGCATTCTCATGGCTAGAGGGTAAATCTGTCCCAAGTCTCTCTTCCTTAACATTTTCATCTGGAAAAAAGGATCCACTTGGGCTTCCAAATGAGTGAAAAACTGGAGAGTCATTATCTAAATCACTTAATTGCTCTTTAGGGATGTCAACACTACTTGTTACTTCATCATGTTCATTATTCATCGGCAGATACGACAGTCTTCCTCTGTAAGTACGCAATCCTATTATTCTTATTACAGCACCTACAGTAAACCGGGCATTGCCAAGATATCTGTGTTTCTCAGACTCTAAGTCCACGTCAGAAATAATCCCCCAGGTTAAAGACAGAAACGAGAAGAACCTGTCATTTGGTGTATCAATAGTACATATATCCAGTTTATGGGTTTGTCCAATGATAGTAGCAAAGATGGCAGCAGTCACGTCAAAAGGTTCTCTGGAAGACAAGTAGAATGGTAAATAAGATACAAGAATATATCCCTCTAACTTCATGCTACTAAGAGGACTTTTTTAGCATTAATAAAAAGACAAAAGATGTGGCTTCCATGTTGGTTGACATGACAAAAGGATAACAAGATCAAATCTTTTGTCAAATCAACCAAAATGCTGGCTATGAAATCACATGCACCCAAAGAGTTAGTGATATCCTCCTAGCTAATAGTGAACTTATTAGTATAACAAACTAGTGAATTAATACAAATCCTGCATTCTGATTGGCTACACTTTATGGTGTATAGGTGTTAGTGTATTGGTAGAGAGCTATTCTGTATAAGTATAAAGAAACTACTTGACTATAAGAACAAATCAGGTCTATTAGCAATATCATACTTACCCTGAGGCATAAAGGGCTGAGTAGCACAATGCATTACCAGAACCAGTTGGGATGACACCAATAGGCATTTGAATAGCTCTTTTCCAGTCTGGTCTGTTCATTAGACCATTTACCAACTAAAACATAAAGTTAATCAATTAAAGCATTTGAATGGTTGATCTCTAACATTCCTGTTATCTTCATGTTATAAGCTTGATTGTTCAGGCACTTCATAGGCTACTGACTCACCCATCCGATGGTTCCCCGTTTCCTATTGCACTCTAATGAGACATAATATACTCACATACCTCATAAACCAGACCATCTCCAGAACAAATTACAATGCCATCCCACTGCTCTACATCTAGGTTTAGGCCAATTTCTTTAGCATGTCCAGCATATTCTGGTCACAAGGACAAACAGAAAACTATTATCAATACCAGTAATGAAAACAAACCATTACAACTTGAAGTGGATTTTCATGTGGGGGAGGGAGAGGTGTGGATCCTAACCGAAGCGTCAAAAAATAAGGCTTTATAATGCATTATTGATTGGGAAGGCTGCAGCCTTATGCCTAACCTCCGGGGAAGGGGTGGGGGTACTCCCATATATGGAGTATACGGGGATGAGCCGCTGAACAAGGTATGGTTATTCGAGCTTCTTGTCATAAACAGGGTATGCAATTTCACTCAAATTCGAAGTTCTTCCTGAGTTTCCTGTCATATTCAGGGTTTCTACTTTCGTATTGACCAAAACTGGTTATTATGGTCATAAAAAGACAATACGCGAGATGACATGATAAGTGAAATGGGAACTCAGTGCAATA